TCTCCCGTCTCGATTTACCAGCTCGCGGCTTCTGTACAGAAGTAGGTTACGGTTCTCGTTGTTTCCTCGTAAAACCCCCTACGTACATACTCGTACACCTACTTTTATCAGGCCCACTCGTGCCTACACGTTCCATCAAATGGGCACGCTTGTATATGAATCCGGTGTGACGAGTCAGCAGTAACCGCGATTTCGACACGAACCTCCAGGTATTCCCTGGATGTACTTAGTTAATCGATAAATGGAGAGGTCTAATGATCGTTGTCACTGCAAATTTTGCTTGCTTCGCAAGATAACTCGTATAGGGAGCACACATGAAGACACGCAAAGACAAACATCGAAGGATACAACTCGAATCGTTATTGCATCAGCTTTCCATTCATAGACATACAGTGTAGTTGTGTGTATCGTAATCCGATATTCATAGTTTGTAAAAAATTTAACTCTTCCTTCGCACATCTTAGTACAATGAAGACAATTTATTTTTAACTCTTTCTTCATACAATGAAGATAATTTATTTTTATAATTATTGTAAGATACTAGATGAATAATTGGTACTCTACAAGCCCCACTTAGCAAAGTGTCGTTCAATGCAAAACATTCAATTATCTAAATATTATGTTTCACGGGAGTTTTTACATTAGTTATACATATTTTGCTTTTCTATAAGAAAGGAAAAATGATGGAAAATGACGATACAACTGCGGTCGTTGGTCCACGGTAGCCAGCGATCAGCTGCACTTTACTTCGTGGCGGGCGCTACTTACACTCTCGCCGCTAACTGCTCACCTTCACCTCGTCTCTTACTCAACGATCGTGCAGAGTTCTACCCCCGTTGCGTAATTACCGGCGCGCGATCGTTACCGAGTCAAATCGTCACTCGAGCGGAATAAGTGCGTACACCGAGTAATATAAAATTATATTAGTTGCCTGTACATATAAAATACTGAACCTGTAGGAAGTTCGAGTAGAAACTATCGAAACGAACGTTGTCTTGTGCCGCAAGAGTTACCACACAAACGAACATGATTTAGAGAGGTTGCTTTGTGTTCCAGATGACTATAGAGATGATTTACAATAGAGATGAGTAAACAATCGAAAAAAACAAACTGCAAAAATTACGTTCATTAGATTTCCAGAGGCCCGCTTCTTATATGTAGAGAATATTATGTTTAATTAGTCCCTTATACTATTACTTAAACTATCGTGTCACATTAGTAGTACAATAGTAGTTACGATTTAACAAAGCCAGATTGCATTTTGAGTAATTTAGCTTCGATTTTTCAAACTAAAAATCCCTAGATCGCGATATTACAATAATGAGTAGTTAATGATTATTTAAGTAGCTATTTAAAGAAATCATAAAATAAGAGAGTAAATTTTAATTTTTGAAAAATAAATAATTATGTAACAAGACGATAATAACTAAAAGAACAAGAATACTTGAGACGACATTAATGCAGTCACCTCAAACAATCATAATGGTTTTGGAATTAACCTCGCGATAGCTTCTTTTAAGGAGATTAATCCGTTGCAAAAATATCGTCATTTATTAGTTTCTTTTTTTTTTTTTTTTTGCAAGAACTGGCGCCGTATAATAAATGAAAACCGCGTAATATGTGTGCACGTGTAGGTTCCAAGGATCTTTTGATTTTTTCGGAGCCCAGTTCAACCGATTTGTGATAAGAATGTCTCTTTGACTTTTCCGCACGTGAACGCTCTTTAGAGGCAAAGCTCGCGTCCTTGCACGAATTGAACGTTGAACCCCGACAATGACACGAACCAGGGAACATCTTTTCGTCCCCTGATCATCGTGAATCATCAGTCGGTCACGAGTCGACGATAGTACACGACAACAGTATTTATATCAGCGCAGATTTAGATAAATTAATGATTTTTTAGGAGGAAACCAAATCAATTCCGATTTGTGAACTTTTCAACTTATAACCAATCATGCATATTAATAAAACCATCGAGTAAATGCGATTCAATAAAATCAGTATTGCTTAAGAGTACCAGTATTGCTTGAGAATAGAAAAAATTTATTTAAAAACGGAAAAAAGAAGAAAAATGTCTATGCAATAATGATAGGGAAAACATGTTTTGTTTATATTAAAGTTTATATCAACGAGATGTATTTTGTTTATTTGACCTGATATATGTAATTAACGCTTTTCCTTTATTGTTAGTGTTATTCCTTCACGTTCCATAATTTTTCCGACTGAAATTACAAACTTTATGAATTTTGAGATTGATTGAGCCCCATCAGAAGTTTAGGAAAGAAACACCAAGGAAAATGAAAGATTCAAGTGAAGCAGGGGAAGCGATAGAATGCGAGAATGGTCTCAACTTTTATCGAATCTGGCGTCGCACCATCGACCCCGTCGACCCTCAAAACCCGATAAAATGACTAGCTTCTATTCGAACATCAAATGCGTTTGCGCGTTATCGAGCTATTTTATCCTGTGGTAAACCGAGTCATCGCATCGCGTCGTGTCGCGTCTTCGAAAATTCCATGATACGTACAAAGTTATTTGACCTTTTGACACATTGAGTTTTTTGAAAAATTTTTTCTACGCTCTGACACGATCGTTTATGTATTTGAGAGAGAGTGATATTGAATATGTCGTTCCACGTTTCATATCTACATAGTGTAAATTGTTTCCTATATGGTCATAACATTAGAATTCGAAGAACTAAGAAAAGAACTAACTAAATTGAATATGGTTTAATGTTTAATGATTCAAATTATACATTGCTATATAAAATCTGACTAGAATTCGATGATTCACCTAATGTAAGATTAATTATCGTTTCTTAATGTTTAGATACCATTTTTGCTATAATATCTCGTAATATAAGCAAAAAATAAAATTAAGGGAAAAAATATAATAAGCAATTGTGCTCGAGCTAACGTTCAAGCGATCGTTACGATTCGTATCATAAATATTCTCATAAAGGAGATACAGAAAAATCAACTGAAATATTTAGTTAACCTGTAAGAGGTGCATTTCTTTTCGATGCATAAAATAAGTGTTTGGAAAGGGACTAGAATGACATAGTTAGAAAAGATAATTAGAAAATAGTGGAAGAATGTTATCGTTATCGATGTTCCGCGGCAGACAAACATCGGTTGTTTTAATACAGAGAATCGCAAGGAAAATATGCAATAATATATTATCATATTTCATATTGTATACGTCAAATACATGGGTGGTGCGATCATGACATAGACCAATCAGTGCATACGGTAAAGTGCCTTACCCCCTTCCACGTGACCTCGTCTTCATCACGACTACGTCATATCGTTGACCCCATGAGCAAAATAATACGCGATATTTAACAACACTTTACTGAAACACAAATATATTTTGTGATCCATGGTATCGAAATGTGACGTGCCCTCACTTTTGATTATCTTAATGTTATAAATCACATAATACATGGAGCGTGGAGTATGTCTCCACGTGGAACGATATGTCAAGCGCTTGGACCGTATTCTACTTTAACGAAAGTTCGAAGGTTTCTTTTTTTTCAGAAAACTCGTTATCATTATTGATACAGATAACCGTTTCACAGTAATAAATCAACCCTACATTATATAAATAGGAAAGAAATCCCTTATATTTCCGTGAGTACGAAAGAAATACAAGGGATGCAAATATAACGTTTGTAAAATACTTTTGAACTTCGTAATATATACTGATCTTAATAGGCTACCCAAAAGTTTAGTGTCAAACTTTACTGTATAATAATAGGATTATGCAGAAATTCAAATTAAATCAAGTAGAAAGTTAAAAAATTTTTCATTAAAAAGTTGTAATAGAAATATGAAATGTCTCAAATATTATCAATACTTTTCCTCTTATAATTAGTTTAATATAAATAGAATAAAACAGGATACATAATGTTTATAATACATGTTCGTATAAGGTACGTTTATCTTTGTGCATTTTACTAGTTGTTTGTGGTGAATTCTAAAAGGCAAAGTATTTATGATACAAAAATATCTACGCAAGATGAATTAATCATTTACAAATCATGAAATTTGATCTACAATAAATTGATATCAATTTTGTATTGATAAAGGGAAACCACTTTTCACAATATATACATAAGTATATATAATCTTACATTTCATGTATTTGTTACAATCGTTTAACAAACCATTTATAAATTTTTTACTATATGACATTTTAGTTTTATTTTTACTTATACAACACCGAAATTTGAAATTAAACTTCTAGATATCCTGTACATGTATATATGATCTTGATGTATGTATTAACAAAATGTATCTTATTATTATTAAATAAATTAAATTCAACTTACTCAATACCTAATATTTTTCTTTAGAATTAATTTTTATAAAAATGTGAACTGACGATCGTCCGCGTAGTACAATGACGTATGTACCTCTAGCGCCACCAACCGAGAGCGTTTAAAAGAATATATATCAGTGAATTTCCTACTATATTGACCATCAATAAATTTATATTTTAAGAATTATTATTGACTAAATGAAATTTTTCAGGAGATAGGAACATATGAAAATTTTTAATCATATATTTTGTATTTCATTGTTTTTCATTGTAGAAATATAGATATTTACTCATTTATGTATGTTAAGTTTTTTATAATAATTATTTTATTTTTTAATAGTTACAGTAATGTGTATATAATTCTTGTATACATATAAATAAATAAACCATCTTTGCACCTATAGCTTATAACTTATAATTTATAACGTATGTAAACATATTTTATTAAGAACAGTTTTTGTATCTTTACTTATATTTTCTATTAAATCGGTATTGTACTCTTACCTTGTTATTAAATATTTTTCTAAGCACTAAGTTAAACAATTTTTATGCCAAAATAATTTGGTACGAAAATACAATGAATTTAAAAAAGTATTATTGCGCGCAATAATTTAAAATCTGCGCGGTGAAATTGCGCCAAAGTATAGCTTCAAACACGCTCTCTATAATGAACAGTCGAAGTAATAAGATGACAAGCATTCGACACTAGACTGTTACAAAAATGGCGCTTGCTGAAGTTTGTGGTCTAAATTCTTTTGTTGATTTCAATGTCTCGCGTAACGAAGATAATTATACACAAGAAATTCAGGCATATAGCAGGAATTTTATAAACAATGCACAATTAGCAGTACCACCATATATGAATGTAAGTAAATAATTTAAATCCATCGTCTACATAACCTTTCACTAATTTAAATTTGCTACATCATGTAATGTCATCTCTTTAAAAATTACTTTTCTGACGTATATAGCCAGCAGCAAAATTGTCACAACTCGCAGAAGGGACTGATGAAGCAGGAAAACACTTGAAGATCAAGTTTGATCATGGAACAACCACATTGGGTTTTCAGTATAAAGGTGGAATTGTCCTTGCTGTTGACTCACGAGCAACAGGGGGTCAATTTATTGGTAAATTTAAAGTGTATATGTATTAAATATTATAATTTTGAATAAGAAATATTATAACATATTTTCTCATCTACTATAGGTTCATCTACTATGAAGAAAATTGTTGAAATCAATGATTATCTCCTTGGAACTTTAGCTGGCGGTGCTGCAGATTGTGTTTACTGGGATAGAGTTCTAGCAAAACAATGTCGTACATATGAACTAAGGAATAGGGAACGTATTTCTATTGCAGCTGCTAGCAAGCTTTTGTCAAATATGATATATAATTATAAAGGAATGGGATTAAGTATAGGTGTGTTTTTATCTCTTTACAAATCGACAGTATTTACAGTAGATTTCTTTAATGAAATTGATAAAATATTGATTTACAGGTATGATGCTTGCTGGATGGGACAAAAGAGGACCTAGTTTATACTATGTTGATTCAGAAGGTGCCCGTACACCAGGAAAAGTTTTCAGTGTAGGATCAGGCTCAATTTATGCATTTGGTGCATTAGATTCTGGCTATCGCTGGGATTTAACTGATGAAGAGGCTTATGAACTTGGCAGAAGATCAATTTATCATGCTACTCATAGAGACGCTTACTCTGGTGGTATTGTAAGAGGTACGTAATCATATAAAGGAAGATTATACAATATGATACAATGTGAATCTTTTACAGTGTATCACATGAAGCCGACTGGCTGGGTACATATTTCTGATGAAGATTGTAAAGACCTTCACTATATGTATCAAGATCAGAAACAGAAAGGACTTAATTAGTAACATTTACAGTTTATTTTATATCCTGTGAAACGTTTCCTTTAATAAAATTTACTTTGAAATGTAAAATTTTTATATCTATTTTTTGCCTGCGATTTAATTTAATAACATTTATTCGTTCAAAACATGTAATTTAATCGATATGAATATTATTTTTCAATGTTAGAAATAAATTATGAACATAATATTGAAATAAAAAAAATATACACATACGAAAGATAAGATGAAAAGAATGTACTTTGAAGCCACCGCCCCACTGCAACCTCCTACTTATTACTGCGCCGCCGACCGCCATTGAATCAGTGTGATTGGTGTCGCAGTGCAACAAGCAAGGTGTGTTATTTCATAAAAAGCAAAATAACTTTTAATTGTAATTTCTTAATTAACATATAAATGTCAAGTCCAGAAGAGTGTAAACTCAAAGGTGGACATCCTCCTGCTGGTAAGTAAATAAATCGTGATTTTCCTTAAAATACAGTAAATATGTTTACACAACTAGAATGACGTCATATGCACCTGTCTGGATATTTCAAGGCTATCTGGCTATGTATTTAACTTTCTTTTGATTGAAATTTTATATCCTTGTTTAGTAAAAGCAGGTGGAATGAGAATCACCCAACACAAAACACCGAAAGAAGATCGTGAAATAAAACCAATTAAAGATGTAGACGAAAGTAAACCGTCTAGCAGGTATCTTTCTATTTACAGTAAGAATAATTCGTATTTTAACAATATTGATTTTAACATTTAATCTAGCAAATTATAATGATTAAAAACACAGTTGATCTCTCAAGTAATAGTTACCTATAGTTAACATATGGGACATATATGTGGCATAGTCTCGTGTATTTGCTATACTAGCGATAACGTTATAATTTGTATTGCGCAATACAAAGCAACATGATACAAACAAAATGAGCATATACATATAAATGAATAAATTGTTCCTATATTTAAATGAAAACAAATTACAAAAACAATTTTATCTATCATAAACATATTATAATGTTTAATAAAATATTTATATATTTATATATATTTTAACTATGTTTCAGTCCACCAAAAACTCTCATGATTAGTGGAGTACCTGCAAAAGGGAATGCAGACTTTCCTCCAGAAGCTGTGCAAGTCTTCCATGAAAAGCCTATTCCAACTCATAATGCACGTCCAACTCATAGTTCACGTCCAATTATTATTCAACAGCCAAGGAAGTGAATGATATACATATTACTTACCAGCTGGAGGCTATTGAAAAGAACATTAGCCTATATATTATCTATTAAAAAAAAAAAAAAAAAAAAAAGGGTGGAAAGAAGAAAAAAATGAATGATAAATATCTATATGTGTGTGTACTTAAAAGTTTTCTTGGACTAACAGGACCTTATGTGCTTAAAATCGTTTAAGCAGTTCTTTATCCAAGAAGCTTTGGTTTCATGCAACATGAAATAAAGTACCTCGCGAGAGTTTATTACTGTTATTAAGACGAAAAGAATTTATCTTTAATGCATTAGATTCCTGTATCGACATTTAGACGAATGATTTATTTCATTTTTCAGAAGTATCGTTCGTTCAGACTAAACAATTTTTAGATTATCTTCTAGATATTATGCTCTTGTCTCAAATAGGCTATTTGTAACTGTTATTGGGACCAGTATGCATTTCAAGTTTAGTAATAATTTAAACAGCTATTTCTATTTCTAAATTTATGCATTTTTATTTTTTATCTATCCTAAGTATTGTAAAAATTTTGTTAATTAATTGTACCTATTACATAGTTTCTCATTGTTAAAAAGAATTACACTACGTAGTAAGCATCACTTTTAAAGGTGTAAATGTCGAACAAGATTCATAATGTTGACTACAGTTTGTACGAGATTTGAAGAAAAAAAATATACGTTCTTAAACGTAAAAATTAAACGTTTTAATTATTTTCCTTTCCTCTTGAATTTATCCCCATATATGTATTGGACAAGTAGTGATCACGCGATATCGTTGCTACCATGAGTACCATTGAATATTGTCGTCATAGTAACTGGCATGAATTCTATAAACATAGCCACATTGATGTGTCAAAGGTCGAATGAAAAAACTGATCAAGTAGAACTTCCTTCCTGATGTGTAAAGATGTGAATGTGTTACAGTTCTTAATCATCGTTTCCGTTTGAAAATTTTCGTACATCTTCAATCCTTCGGATCGCCGTATCAGTTCGTGAAGTTTCATCGCGTTCATCTATAGTCGCGATGTCGTCAAAAAATACTAGTGAAAAGGTTTTAGAGATCGATGTACACGTCACCAAACATTATGACATTGTTCGACGTCTTGGCAAGGGGGTAATTTTTTTGTTCATTCTGTTATTTTTAATAATTACTTATTTCTCCTTAATTTCAGAATATTATAGTATGTTAAGTATTTTGTAATTTTTATTTTTGCAATGTTGTTCTTTAAACTTTTTTCAGTTATATGTGTGCGTCTGTGTGTGTGTGTGTGTGTGTGTGTAAAGTTTTCTAGAAAGTATAATGTATAAAGTTTTCTAGAAAGTATAATATATAAAGTTTTCTAGAAAAATATAATATAAAAAATGATTCTAACTTTATATGGGATGAAAAAAGCAAATTGTTTTTATATAGTATGAAGGATATGATGAAGAAAAATTGTGTGCATATATACGCGCATACGTACAATTATCCATAACAATTATCACGTAGGTCCATCATGGAAAAACATAACCGGAAGCAATCGGTACATGTGCTGTTAACAATTACAATCACGACATCAAATATTTAATCTAAGGATAAATATTATAATCGTAACGAACTTTATTCAAAATTTAAAACATCTTTAATCGATAATTTTTCGACAAATTTTTCGATAGGCTTACGGTATTGTATGGAAGGCGATAGACAAGAGAAACAAGGAAACAGTAGCGGTGAAGAAAATCTTCGATGCCTTCAGAAATCAGACGGATGCACAGCGCACATTCCGTGAGATAATGTTTCTACTATCATTCGCCAATCACGACAACATCATACGACTGATCGGTCTTCACAAGGCGAACAACGACCGAGATATTTATCTCGTATTCGAGTACATGGGTGAGTTTTACCCGGTCCAAAGAAGAATTCAAACGAAGGTCACATGCCGCGGCGATTCTCAGACTTTTGGCCTGAAACCCGTTTCGGCCCGTTTCCCCAGAAACCGATCTGCACAACGTGATTAAGAAGGGCAAGATCCTGAAGGACCTCCACAAGGTGTTCATCATGTATCAGCTGTTTAAGGCGATCAAATACATTCATTCAGGAAACGTGATACACAGAGATTTGAAGGTGAGATGGTCTACGTGGATTGATTCCCATCGGAATGACTGCTATGTTTATGTTTGTTCCAGCCATCAAACGTTCTACTAAATGCTCATTGTCATTGCAAAATCGCTGATTTTGGACTGGCACGATCTGTCACTCAAATAGGCGAAGGAGATGGTGAAACCGCCAGCGATCCAACACTCACGGATTATGTGGCAACTCGCTGGTATCGTGCACCGGAGATACTCGTTGCTTCAAAAAGGTATTCGTTATTTTGTACAAATATATACATACATATATAAATTTACGTAACTTTGTTGTCTATGGATACAATTTAGGTACACGAAGGGTATCGATATGTGGTCATTGGGATGCATTCTTGGCGAAATGCTTCTTGGAAAGCCATTATTTCCTGGTTCATCGACGATAAATCAAGTAGAAAGAATAATGGCCACTCTTCCGCCACCTACTAGAGAAGGTAATACTCTTTGATAGTCTCACAAATCCTCAGAATAGAAGAAAGAAAGTAATCGATTTTCCTTGGTGATATTTTCAGATCTGATTTCGGTTAGCGCCGGATATGCTACTCATTTATTAGAAAAGACACCAAACGCACCCAGGCGTTCATTGAAGGATTTATTACCAGAGGTGCCGGAGAAAGCATTGAACCTTATCAGCAATCTGATTGTCTTCAATCCAAATCACAGACTAACAGCTGTGGAGGCTTTAGAACATCCTTATGTGGCCGAGTACATTAACTTTGTGATGAGAAATAAAAGGAATTATTTTATTATTATCGTCATTATTCTTTTTACAGTTTTCATAGAAGAAGCAACGAACCGGCAAGAGGTTCGAGCGTGGTACCGTTGCTCAGAGACGACGTACAACTCTCTGTCGACGAATACAGAAATAAGCTTTATTCAATGATGGACGAGAAACATCGCAAACATAAGAATATGTGGGTTAATATAATAATTTATATGACAAAAGATTATTATCATAAGTGAGATTGATGCATCGATTAATTGAGAACAGGTCTAAGTCCAGAATCAAACGATTATCGGAGCACATCAGGAAGGAAACAGTTAGTAGTAATAGTAACCCAGTCATTGGCCAAGGTGACGCGATTATTAATAAAAGTCTTACACATTCGTGTCAAGATTTACGTAAAGAGAGAAGTAAAAGCGATATATACGAGCCTTCTTATTTAGAAGGTGATACCATTAACAGTTTATTTTACGAAAAACGACAGATTAACAAAAATAAATTGACAAATCTCTTACTATCTTCTACTCAGTGCGCACACAGTTACCAAGCAGAAAGACGACACGACATTCGCAAATTGATAGTGGAGAAAGAATTACGAAAACGAGATCGATATGTCTTTCTGTCGAGCAACAGATGCAAAACACAAAAAATCTTCGACCAACTGGTAAGAATGTATTAATTTTGGTAGTTTCGATAAGGCCGAAACGTTTTCATATCGTGGTCGTATTGATAAATCTTTTTAACATTTAACAGCTAAAAGCGTAGCAACTCAATATACACACAATTTTGTAAACGGTAGTTTGAATAATTTGACTCCAAGCACAACCAAAAGCTGCTTATATCTCAATCAACAACACCGACAACTATCCAAATCTCAGCGTTCTATACAATCGGATCAACCTATGATGGTAAGAAAATAAATTGAAAACTGCAATTCACTTTCGAGTTGATTTCTTTGTTCTCTAATTCGCCGCGTTTTTTGCTTAAAAAAAGTAAACGGACGATTCTGTCGTTACAGGCTACATGTCGCGTGGGATTCATTTAGGTACTGTAATCACTTATACGTGTCACAACTCACGCTTCTCGCACAAAAACGACGTACATGCTCTTTTTCTTATCCAAGATTAAATCGAACAATTTTCCTCACATGCAATTTATTTGTTTCAATTGTAGGAATTTTACAGCATAATTCCATAAATTTAATTCGTACAATCGAAATTCAAATATTTCAGTGCGCGCCTGGAAGAAGACCAAGTCAAGTAATAGCTGGCAACCGAGATAAATTACGAAGGAATTGCAAACAGGTCCGTACGACAAATCGACTTACGACAGATCTAAATTGGCGGGAAGAAGATCGACAGAAGACTTCGTTCAATCACGATAATCCTAAGAGTCTTCAGACAAAATATTTCGCGAGAACGCCTGATAACGTAACTGCTTACTACCTTAGTTCTGGAAGTAACAATAAGAATAGCAATAGCTCCAAGTCATTGTATAATTCATACCATCCTACTGCGAAAAGAGAAAATCTAACTATCCGAAACTATCTGAATCAAACGGTACCATTGCGTGTGGAAGAACAAACGCCGTCAACGCTCCCCAATCGAATAAGAAACAATACCGATTACCGGATGATCCTTCGAAGTAACGCTAGCAATACCGAGAAGCTACATCAATCGGGTAATTATCTTACAAGCAACAACAATCGGTCAAGGAACACAGTTCCGAACCGACGTCACGTCATTGGAACACAGTTGAAACATGTCGCCGATGCAAGTATAAATAGTGAAAAAAAACCGGCATTGATACGTGATTCGTCTTTCTTAGATAATTATAACCAAAGTCACGGTATAATAACGGCGTCTATGTACAAAGATCTACGAAATGAGACTATAAGATGGTAGAATATTGTCGGTGGCAGCTTCTGAAGAAAGACACAAATAAACCGAAAAGATTTATTACACATATTTTTGTATCGTTCATCCCCGTAAATAGCTTCTTTTTTACGCAATGAATATTCTTTTTCGAATCTTAATAAATAAGAGTTTGATTCACTCTTGGAATTGTACCAAAATTATGGATTTTCTCATATATTAATAAATATAATAAATGTAAAAGAAGGAATGTAATATAAGAAATTGAAAATTAAAATTCATACAGGAATATTCTTCTTCACAGAAGCTGCGAACAATGTATTTAACGTTCCTACATAAATTTTTAAAATGCACGATCTATCGATTGATCTGAGTTCCTACAAGAACAAACTGCCGAAGCTTCAATGTAAATCAACTTATTATAAATGCATAAATAACAAAGAAAATGATGATTTTGAAATAAACAATACTTCAAGTTGTTAGATAAGAAGAATCTTGCGATGAATGATCACTATATAGTTCTAAGATAAGAAGTGGAAAAACTTGTCCAACTTGTTCAACTCGACATAATATTGCTTAAAAAAAAGGGGGAGAGAAGGAAAAAATTATAATTATCTTTTGGAAGTTTCAGAATTATCGAGTTGAAATTTGGAAAATAATCACGAATTTATTATTACAAATATATAAGTAACATATGAAGCCAATTATTGGGGCCAAAATGGTGTTTTCATGATATCAACACTCGTCCCCCACGAAGAGCAAGGATATTATTCTTTCCTCTTCGCGTTCAATGTTTATTCCTCGACAATGTAGCGTTTAAATTCCTTTGTAACACACTTTTTTGTGATACTTTTATGCGGCTATGTGATAATGTCCAATTCGTATGTATTACCTGTCGTGGAATAAATTTTTATTAAAGCAATGTGACTCGTACGCTTTTCTGTCAGTATCCAGATCAAAAGCTCTGTGAAAAGATTGCCTCGTGTCGCAATGAAAACGTTTTTCTGAATCAGAATACATGACACCCCGTATTTTCATTTTTCTCATTTTGTATGCAATTCTAGTTCTCGTTGTCGGCGTCACGTTGTTTCTTTTTTTAGAAAGACGAAAGTATTATCAATAGAAATATTATTTCTTCCTTCTTTTTCTCAGATTTATAAAAAGCATGAACCGAATCTGTTCACGTATACGTATATGTAAATATGTTATGTTGTTTGTTGCACTAAGCTTTTAGGAAAAAATATCTGCATTTTCAAATCATTGTTTTCAATTCGAGTATATTGCACAGGATTTATTATAAAAAACGACTATTTGTGCCATATGCATCAAGATACATATGTACCTATGTACCTACTACGCTCTCTTATCATTAACATCCAAATCTTACACTAATATTTCGTAAGTATCTGTAAAGAAAAGAAATTCTTTGTCTCAGTCACATAAATATATATACATTTATGTATGTCATCCCTTATCGTCCATCGATATTTTTTAATACGTGGACGAGTTCTATTTAATCCTTCGAAATGTTTAAATGAAATGCGAATACACGTACAGATGTTGAATCGGAATAAATTGCAAACGTTATTGAAAATTTAATATCCCAATAGGATGTATCGATATATCAATTTAATCGATACAATTTTTCGAAATGGAAATAGCGCTTTTTTCAGTTATTGTATATTCAACAACAGAGGCAACATTATTAATATGTCACGATAACGATATTAGTTCCAATTTCATGAATTTTTATTAGAAAAAATGCTAAAAAATTTTATAAATATTTTGAGAGACTCTATTTTCAAATTGTGCAATTTTTTTCGTATTTATTTTTACAATCAATTCAATTCGAATTGAACTGGATAATATCATTAATGTCAAGCCCACACGACGAATATGTTTACTCAATGTAAATAAATATTTACAAACTGTTTAAGTTCACTTGATCTCATTACAGTTATGATCCTGTTACACGTAACAAGATTATTCTTATGAAAAATTATTTTAATCCAAATCGAACGATAAATAAATAATGTGAACGATAAATAAATAACATTATCGAAAGTGTGACTTCTCGTCACTGTTTCAATACTTTTCAAATCTAGCCCTATTTGTCTCCTTTATTCAAATTCACTTCACAAACTTACCCTTTTACCTGATTCCTCATCAATTACGTGTGCTCTTTTTTTCATTCATTATAGTGCATTTATTATAATGCATAGTAGACAGAATTTACATTGTTGCAATAAGACTTTTTGTTTTAAGGAACGTTAATGCAATTTACGTTTGTTATCACGTGAAAAATTGAAAACTATTTATCACACTATTTATCGATATAAACATTAGTACAATTATCAATGAATGATACAGTATTCAAATCCAAAGACTGCTAGGAAATATTCTAAGCAAACATATTTTAACTGACATTGCATCTTTTCCGACTACCTTTAACGATATTCTATACATCTATAAGAGATCAACCAAGGCTAAGTTAGTTCTTTGATTAAATCATTTATTTCTATGTTCAACGTTGTTCATCTGTAGTGACCAACGTATTCACATGAGGTTGAGTGGCTTCATTCTTCTTGTAACAGGTCTCTTGATTTTTGTTTATCTGCATTTGTTCCATCACTGTTTGCTGTCTTCCCCGAAGACTTCGCAACATGTAGCAATGTCGATGAGGACTGTGTCTACTGTAGAAACTATCATATCCACTGCTAGTGGTGGCTGTTCGCCGAAGGGCCAAAACTGCGTGATGACCATTGATCGGTAGTCCACATCCACATGCGGATAACATTCTCTGGTTGCGAAGCAACCCTCGTCTCATGGTACTATTAGCACTACATCCTGCGCACACATCATCGATCACGGCAGTTCCTTGAGCACTCTGCAGTAAGTAATAAAATATGAAAATTGCTGAAAATGTAGAATGTCGAACATTTTTTATTTAAGGGGATTTTCCTATTTAGAGCTGCAAAATTTAAATAATTTATTATAATAAATTATAATAAAAACCTATTGTATAAAAATAAAGCAAAAAAAAAAAAAATTTTTTTTAACGAAATGACGACAAGAAAAAGATATTGATATAGTTCTAGCTCACAAGATAATTACTTTTATATAGATTAAATTCAGTTTTTCATTCTTTTCTTTCAAATGAATACAACAATATAAATCATAGTAACTATTAAAGATAAAAATAATGCAGATAACATAATTTGAATAATAATAAAGATAACATCGTACAAGAATTACATTATCATAACATATCATAACATAACATGGTCAAACAAGTATTTATAAGTATGTATTCGTATGAGTTACTTAAAGCGTCAAAGTCTAAAAACTTCTCAAAAATCAAAAAAATTTCGAATTTCGAGAATTCAAAATTTTGTACCTTTTTCATGATTCGAAACTCTCGTAACTCAGATAAGTAAAAACATAAAATCAATGAATAAAGAATAGTGTAAATAAAGGATATTTAATTCATGTGTATTTCAAATATTTGGTGCAAAATACTTCGCAAATGTTTGTTTTTGAGAACATAAACAGATATTTAAAGATATAAGTGATCGATTCTGGAATGATAATGCAAAATATTCAAATTTTATTACATCACCAAATCAAAAAAGTATCTTATATCACCATACACTCTGAAATTCAGTACATTCAGCCTTGTAGTCGATAAAAAAAGAAATAAATTAGATCTCGAAAGAGTTCGAATGTTAATGTTTTTATACAAGAATCTGGATTAAATATTTTTGTATGTTGTTACGTTTTTGTTATAAAAATTTATAAGAAAATGTTTAAATCAAGAAATTATTGTACAAAATAAATTAGTATTTCAAATTTTTAAAGTTTCGTAACCTTGCAAAATTTCGGATTTAAATTTCAAGAATTTAAAAATTGGTTTTGAACTGATCCCTAATTCTTTTTAACGAGGAAAAGTCCGTCAGTACTAAAAAGAATACCATGAAAATCGATATAAAAAAATTTATTTCACAGAAAAAAATCAATGAGGATCTTATGTTAGTAAATATTTTTGATGTATACGCTTTGCTGAGTTAGGCTACTGCTAAGAGTACCAATAATGTAAGAGAAGAAACTGAACCGCGTAAAATGAGATCGCGTAAAATTGAAGCCGGGTATAAAAAATTCGTGTAAATGGAGGGATTATTTATCGCGTAAAGAAAGTACGACGTAAATCGAGGATGTAAATTTTAAAATATTGATCTATAATAACCTAACAATTTTCTATCCAATAAATCGTTTAAAAATTGGTGATTTTGAATGAAAATAAATTTACTTTCATCTTTAAACTATTCTTTTCTTTACACATTATTGATTTTTTCATTAATACTCAATAGTCGATGTCATTTATACTATTACAAAAATTCTGTGGAATTTATTACAAATAAAATGAAATAATATTGACATTAAAGAAAATATTAAATATAATAAATTTTTTCCTTGTTTGAATCACAAAAATGAGATTTGAGAATTGTAGTAGTTAAGAACAAGATATCCAATGAAATTATTAATGAAATATTATATTTATATTAAGTCCTGTGTAATAAAAAACTAGTAAATTCCATACTCCGTTATAAACATAGCGCGGTCATTTGAAAAATAATAAACCCATGGTATTCGTCACAATAAATATAAAGACAATAGAACTTTCATCAAAATTGAAAATATATAAATATATAAATATATATATAATACATATATATTATTATACATACACACATTATTATTATTACATATATTATTTTACATATTATTTACATATATTATTAATTATATATTTCATATATATTATATACATGTACATATATATATATATATATATATATACACACATATGTTCAATCTACTCGACTGATTTTCAAATGCATTTTTCTCGAAAACGAAACCCCCGAACATAATTTTTTCATTTTTAATTTTCATCTTATTTGGAGCGATAGAATTGTCCCGACCCAATTTGTACTATGACTTCTGGGACATCCTGCATATCTAATTTTTTCTTTCGAAACAAATATATTAGTTAAGTATTATATATAAGTATCGGTAAGTATCAGTAACTTTATAGAAAGCAATAATTTTATATGCGTGAGTTAGAGTTTCCGACATTGAACGATGTACATCAGATTGATGCTTGTTTATGTTAACAAAGAATACAACGATTTTAGTAGTGTATGGAAGTCTGCCAATTTGGTCGTCATAAATAGCGTAGATAAATGCTTATGCAAGATACGTCACACCCCAGCTATAATTTTACGATGTTAGGCCAGGGCCACACCAGCGTTGAAACGACGTGCGTTGCAATGCATGACGTTCCGAACGCACGCACATAAGTGAACACACTACGTTGCTGCTTTTGTATTAACTGGTTAAGGGTACTAAGAGTATGGACGCGTGTGATGTAGCGTTTTCACATATGACACACTTATATTTAAAAATCAGACGAAAGAGAAAATGCGAACGATATATATATATATATAGGCACTACTTTATAAAGAACTATATGAAAACCATGAAATGGTTCAATTATTTCCAAATGTCCGTTTAATGAATTATTTTATCGTTTGTGAAAGATTGTACGAAACACCAAAATATAAATGTCGATATTGGTCATGACAAAGTAGTTTTCGATCATAGTAAAATAATTTTTATTAAATTATTATATAATTATATGTGATGAGTCTTCTTATAAAAAGTATTTTCTTGCTTCGCTAGCAAAGAAAGTACTGAGAACGACGACTACAATACGTTGAATGTTCTGTTCATAATTGTAGTATAAATATATCGAGAAAAAATCAACGTCGTAACGCATGTTGAAAATGACGCACGTTTCTTGATGCAATAAACTATGATGATATTTACTACAACGCTACATCACAACGCATGTCGTTTCAACGCTATGGCCATGACATTGTAGAGAATTTATGTCAAAATTTGATGAAATTGCGATAATGCTTCCTCACACTCTTGTTTGTTTACAGCTCATACTGCGTCATATAAGATCTAGCAGATAGAGAGACAAAAAAATTTCTTCTCTCTCTTTTTTCTTTTTTTACAAGAATTACAACAGCTTTGTATATCGTATTCTGAATCATTTCACACTTTATGCAACGAATGACGATTTTAGGCTGTATCACAAAATACCAAAGAACCTCGAGAACATCAGTCTCCGAATGAAATACGAAACTTTTTGTGACGACCCAGCACCAATTTTTATTGATACAACTGAAAAACACAAATAAACTAAAGATACAAGAGAAAAAAAAACATACGCGCGATTGATTCTGAATTTTACTTTCGAATATGATTTTGATATTAAATATGAAATGACATGGGTTTTTATTATTTATTAAAAATTTAGAAGAAAGGATAACAATATAATCTCTTTTCAGAGTTAGATTTCTTCTTAAAATCTAATTGTTCTAAATTAATCTTTTACTTAAAACGTAGGTAAAGTAGAAACAAAAGAAAGATTCTATTCTTTACAAATAAAAATTTGCTGTTTTTCACAAAATACGCACTCATTATGTGTTTATACTTTCCAAATGAGACGTTTAATTCATGTGTCGTCACGTTAGTTTATCGAATAATGTACTCCGTGAGAGATCTCAATATCTGAAGTATCAAGCTTTGCAAGCAAGTTTTGAAACTCATAAAGTATCTGATTTAGAGTTTTTGCTTCCGAAAGCTATATTACTCTTCATGAGGGACCAATATATCAACACAAATAGCTGTGGAAACTTTGTTATACTTAAAAATATTAGAGATTAAATGATCTTGCCTATAAATACTATAAGCCTCTTATCAAATATGTCCCAACATGCAACTCTTTAACTTCCTTAACTTATAAAAAATATTTCTTTCAATATCAGCCTCTCTTCTAATTCATAGATATCGAATTATATACGTTTCAGTATACCCTTTTAATATAATATCATATTGTTAGATCGTTACAAACTTAAAATAATTAATGCATTAGTTGAACAAATGAATTTTTCTCTTGGAAGTACAAAATTTATGTGACGCATACTCGTAAAAGAGATATAAGAATAGGATAAAAGAAACAATAAAAGAAAATTGCTTTAGTATTGGAAAAATTCTACCTTCTAGCGAGAAGACTTATCCTTACGTAAATTTTATTCAAAGCTTCTGCATTTACATTAGTAGAATATCTTTAAATTGCTATGATACTCGATTCAAATGTCGATACTTACCCTGCGATAAGGCTTTTGACGTGTCAATCCATGGCAAAGGATCTCTGATACGCTCCGGCGGAAATTACGAGTCATAACGCAGTATACAACAGGATTCAATGCGCTATTCGCGTGTCCCAGAAATAAGCAATAGGATAGAGCATCTGTCGTTGCTTTTCCCTCTACAGAATAATTTTAAGGCTTTAGGTATATATCTCGTCCCAGTTCGTTAGTTGCGAAGTACAAGTAATATCTATAATCATATTCATTGATAATTCGATAAAAAGCTAAAAGTTCATATCAAATTAGCGACTACTAGCTGCTTTCTATTATTTCCCTCGCGATAAAGAGAGGCGGAACCCGTAGGCTCGTGGGCGTTCTATATGTTTCCATAATCTAAGAATATTCAATTAAAAGGTGCATAATAATTTCTGTACTTTCTTCAATGAACGATCACTCACCGACTGCGCCCAGGTCTATCAAGAGCATTAAAACGTTATACGGTAGCCAGCACAATGCGAACAGCACCGCCAGAAGAAGCAATATCCAAGCAATTCGCTTTCTCTCACGTACCAGCCGAAAACTCTGCGAATAAAATGCAATTGCACTCGATTATAAACGCAGCACAATTTGCATCAAGATTGATTCGTCATTTAATTATCGACGAGAAGAGCACAAATGCGGACAATGATTTTAATATTTCACGCACGAAGTGATATGAGTACGTACATTGGCAGTATGTGAACTTCTGTGCTGAATTTCAAAGAATGAAGTCTTTAATTTGCTCGAACTTAGTTTCTTTTAAAGACCCGGTTTTTTTGTTGTAAAACAGAATGAGAAACTGAGGTTGTCCTTTTTCTTTTGAAATTTCTTAAATTTCAACGACTTTATAGAGTTTTATACAATTTTTTATGCAATTTTTTCGTTTCAACGTGATCTTATATAGAAAAATCTTCTCTTTATAACGATCTCTCCTTTTTTATTGTACTTTTAATGAAATGTGTATCGTCGGCATTCTCAATTATTCAGTATGCATTTACTGCAAGTGTTTACTATGTACATGTGTTTAATGAGTGTACGTGTGTTTAAAGAGTTTATGTATGCGACTGATTAAAACATGTTCAAAAATATGTCAGACGCTAAACACACACATTACGTGCACACGCACACACACACAAAATAAACGTATACATTCACATTAAATATACATAAACATACACATTTATTGTAATGTCAGTATACTTTTTATTTAAACGAAAACAAAGGTAAGAGAAAATTATACATCAAGTTTTGCAGGATTGTTGTAAAAGAAAGAATTCAATCTTTAAATATTTGCAGAAATGTCTGAATTTGTAAGATTCAATTTTAAAAATTTTAAAATACATATTTTCGAGAAAAAAAAATATGTGTTCGTTTTTTCATCCACTAGTGACATGTTTACAGCACCGTAAAAGAAATGAATTATGAATTATGAAAGTAGAGGCTTTCGTTTTAAAATGAACTCAGACAGAATGTTGTATGATTTTTTTTACATAAACTTATATATAGGAATTCAAAAATATATATAAACTTATATATAGGAATTCAAAAATATATATAAACTTATATATAGGAATTCAAAAATCGACAATTTTTAACAGTTATAATCTGATGATCCTTTAATTTCTTGGAATAGTGTACATATGACAATACAAATAAAAAGGATCATAGGAATATCTTTTGACGGTAAATAATGTGTTCGATCGAATCGAAAACTTTCTTCAAATTTAATTATTTCTATTATACATATATTACACTACTTGAATAGATTTGATTAGATTTTAAAGCAGACTTAGGCAAATGGTGACTGGCCAATCTGTTATTACTGAATTAAGTGTGCTTAACTTGCATCCTTACCATAATTGATTTTCTGCTAAACTCACTAAACTTTATCAGATTAAACATCACGTATGACCTATATGATTTTCGAACTAACCTGTTGCGAGCTGGCGCTTCCTTCAACGCTATCGCAATCGAAAGGTGGTTTCCGCGCGCACAGTGTTCGTCCCATCATGGAGTATGACAGTATTACGATGAAACCTGAAGAACGAAAATGACCAAACAAGGGAGAACTATAAAGGTTAGAGAAAGCAGAGAGTAAAATGACTGATCTCTTTTTGGGATGGATAACAAAAAACGAATCGTGAACATCTTGATTTTCTCTTTCAAAATGGAAAAAGGAAGGTGAGATGAAAATATGTGTTCGAGTAAAGCTTGTCATTAATCATGTGGTCAATCTTACCAGGAATAGCGTAAACCAGCACAAAGCACACAGCTCCGAAGAGAGGCGCCCGAATTCCCAGAGGCTTGAAATCTTCAGAACAAATGTAGAAAACAGGTGGTTGGCGAGATACACGAGAAATATTCTGTGAAAAATCCCTTGTCATTGCCCAGGATCCGTAGAAAGATATGTTGCTAAATTCCATGCCTGGGCTGTGGAGGGTCCTCTGAAAAGAAAATTGAACACCATTCATCCGTTAAATTTCAGAAATGGAAATCTCCTTAATAAGATTTATTTATACCGAAAATCTTCTTTTTCTAATTTTCTGGTACGAAAAATATTGCTCGTTTTCGTTCTATCCTTGGAAATATATTTTCGCAAAATGCAATTATTGAACCGTTTTTTTCCACATCAAAGAAAAAGAAAAAGAATGAACACTCGTTTAATTCGTTTGAAAAGTCGTTCTTTCGAAGTAAAATGGTAATTAGAAAATTTAATTTGTTTCTAAAATAATGAGAAAACATCAGTAACAGAACTTTCTGAATAGTCCTTGAATTCAGTAATTTTAGTAAAAATTTTAGTAAAAACCAGTTGTCTGTAATTTTCGACAAATGAATAAAATATATTCCAGACGTTTTACATTGTTTGAAACTTTTGCGAATGATGTAATTATTGGATTATTGTATTATTGTAATACTAACCGCTCTGAGAACAGGAGCAAAAATGATTAGAGGGACCAACCAAAGAGCCATGATAACGAGAACCGTGCTTTTCCTATTGAACACTCGACGAAACGCCATAGGATTCCTTATCGCCAAGTATCTGTCGATGCTCATTGCAGTAATGGTAAAAACCGAAGCAGCGACTGCAACACCTACGAGTTAGAGTCGTCGTCATCGTTTTAAATCACCGTCGGCGATCAACGGTTCTTTCTAATAGGATATTTAGTCTTTAGACGGTTGGAGAGAACGGGTCGGACGTAGGCGGAAAGGTCGACGGTGACGAGTAAAGAGAGAAATTAAAACTGAATCTACAGAGGGATTGCGTTTCGCTTGAGGAAATACAGACGAATGCGTGTTACACTAATATACACGTTCCGGAAGATCTTTTATATGTAAGCCAGAATTATATTTCGCCCACTCTACTTGGAGAAATCAGCGAATCGTGATTGCAGCATTTTTTCATTTGTATTACCTTGCACTGCCGTGAGAGAATAACGTCTCCAAAAACATCGTGTTCGTGGAAAGCATTTCGTTAATTTAACACGAATTTAATGACATGCAGATTTGAATCGAAGATTGTAAAACAAAAGACGCCTATAATATCGTAAGATCTTACCTTGAAGGTAAGAGGAAAGTTTGCACATTATTTCCCCGTGTATCCATATTACAGAGACTGCTTGACTGACAGCCACCGGCATACAAATCGCAGTCACCAAAAGATCTGCTATTGACAGGTTGACCACGAAATAATTAGTCACACTGAAAATAAAAATCCACTATTGATTGAAACATGATATATGTAAATGGAAATAATCATTGAGCCAATTTAAAGATCTGATAATTCAATGAAACATACGAATCACTTTTATTGAGGAATTCTGCGAATTTAACAAACGAATTCTTACAACTGCGTTTCGTTGAATTGCCAACGCGATGAATTTCGAGCAATGAATAAATAATTTGTAACAGGGCTGCTCGAATACCTAATATCCACTTGGACAGTTTCGAGGAACGCGTATCATTCGCTTATTGTTATCCGTGCAAAGCGTAAGCGGTTAATATCAAAATCACGTATTCACGTTCACGGTTTGACAGTAAAAAGAGAAAGGGAGAGCAATAATTTTTGCCTTACAAATAAACCTGAATTGAGGCAACCATGATGTTCTTACAGGCATCGTAAGTGTGGATCGCTTATTTGCACGATGCTTCGCCGCTGTTGGAAATAAGCATTCCTATGTGTGTATGTGTTTCTTCGATTTTGCGTACTAAGAATGTTCAAGGTATCTGCACTACAGAATTAAGAAAGTTATGTCTGCATTCAAGGTACCAATTATAGCAATTGTTTATGCGATGCGAGCAAACAACACTTGGTTTGTTATATTTGACAAAATTTTCGTTACGTAACATTGTTTATCACTGAAAGCTCGTCGAAGTGTTTTTTCACCGTTCACATACCATGAATCTCCCATCATCATTCCATATTGCAATTGATGCCTTCTGTTAATCAATTTACGCTCTATCGTTTGCAAATCTGATGCATACATATTATTTATGTACACTTGCACGTTTTTGTTATCAGAAATCGAATGAAACTGTTAAAATTCAATCGGTTATGAAATAATTTTATGTACCATAATTATTTTTTCCGAAAAGACAGTTATAAAATACAGTGCATTAATTGAAATTTCTATCCATGTATCTTTGTGTAAATAAGAAAGAAGAAACTTTTATTTTCTTGAAAATAAGTTTTAATTTAACAGAAACATTTATTCTGCTCTGAAAAGAATAAAATTGTGACAAACAGATTCGTTGGGAACATTGTGAGATAAATGGGTTTGAAATTAAAATCTTAAACCATTCGATGGAGATAAATTTAAAAAAAAGTTAATTTAAATGTAATTTAGACACTAAACTAGACTAATCTGGATTAATGGAAGATTTAAAAGATCATTTCTAAGTTAATTAGTATAACCCATTATACAAGTTAATGGAACACTGTTTTATGTTTAAAAAATACGTGATAATCTCAGGACAAGTTATAATTAATAAAAATAATTTAAAGGATATATTATTCCTAAAACATTAAACTTTGAACTTTGAGTATATACGGAATTTTCTGTTCTTTTTAATTCTCTTTTTATAGTTCAATCAAATGAAACAGTTACACAAAAATCATAATATGCATACATTGTATATTTATTCTACTTCTAGTTCTTTAAATAACGCTAATTAAAAAAGTTTCTCTAACTTCTGACTTTTATATTTATATTTATATTTTGAACTTAAATATCTGTCCAAAAATAAATGATTCTCCTCTTATTAATTAAATATAAAACAACTACTGAAAAACTAAACTTTCATAAGTTGATTAACGTACGGAGTTAACGTACAAAGTTAACAGAAGAAGAATTTATAAGTTAAATGTTCGATAAATAACTTTCATTCATAAAATAGATATTGGCTGTCTTATTCGATCCCTGATTATAATTAATTGCTCCTTTACACTCTTCTCAAAGATATCGAACCTTTATTCATTCCAATAAAACTAAATCAAGAGAATCACCAGGATCATTGAGACTGTTGAAAATGACAAATGAATTGTAACTAATGGCGCTGAATGTCATTTAGTATTATTATTAGAATTTGTTCTTTCTGCGAGCTCCGTTCCTTTACAATTCACACTGATTTTCAATTGATGTGAAAGGATTAAAAAAAAGATAACGCCACTCTGCATCCGCCTCGTATTTCGAAATGAATTTGCCTAATCCTATAACTATCCTTGCGCAAAGTTATAATTAATTCGGTCAGAATTGATCCTGTTATCTCGGAAGCTATATCTTAATTGTAAACTGACAACATGACAAGGTAACAATCTCTCTAATCAGCAATCTATACACCTGAGGCCATTTCAATTGAGTCGACGTCGCGTCATTTAGTCAAATCTCCCTTCATCCTACTCCGAGACTGTTCCACAATGATCTTCGTAAAGTTTTAATTGCCTTGGATTTACTCGCCATTCTATCATAAGGCTTTCTAAATGGTGTTTCGTGTACCATACAATACATAATTTGAATTTGTTATGAATATAGATACTGTTTAGGAACTGCACCACATGCAATAAATAACTCTCTGATCGAGCCAATAGAAAAGTAAATGACTGAATCAATACATATTTGATAAAATCTATGTATACGTACCTGCGCATGTAGTGGTATTTGAAGACGACTGCAATCACGAGAATGTTGGCCGTCACTGCGAGTGCCATCACAGGTACGTAGAGAATGATCAAAAAGTAATTAGTTTTGCTGTGAAATTTATCGTAAAAGTACCAGAGTATATCTCCGGTAATGTCTTCTCCAAAGCTTTCGTTCGAAGGTACCACGCTATCATTATATGAGCTATTAAACTCCGATGACAACGTTGATATTCTTGAATCGTTGTACACATTCGTCATGATCTTCTCGTTTGTATAATCCAATATTGAGCTTTCTTGTACGAACTTGTACAACCGACGAAATGCAAGTGAAAGTAATTTTTCGTTTTAACAGATATAGAGGATTTAGTTTTCGATCAATAGAAAATATTGTCGCCTTTTAAGTTTCAAAGCTTCGTTACAGCTAGTTTCTCGATCAAATGAACTTGATCCGGTTAACGAAGAAATTTAGTGTACGAAAATCGCCGCGACGACAGTTTACCTTTTACGCTTATTTCTATTATTATTAGATATATATATATATATAGATATAATATTCACTCTATCAATCCCGGTTTTGTCATAATAAAATTTTGACGGTATATTTGGCGAATTGAAACTTTTATGACGCGACAAATATGGAATATTTTCGTAAATGAATCGATCTTATCGCGTGTAAAACAGTCATAGAACGGTATACAATGTTTCGTGAATATTTAAAAAGTCCATACGTTCCTTTGGTTAATTTGCAACGAGAAAACAGTATATACGAAGCAGCGTATCATTATCTTCGACATTTTGCCGAAAATATATCAGCCGATCAATCCCATGATTACGTATGAGAAAATTGTTAGCATTAATTTCCTTATCTATTTAGCTTTGGAACTATCAACGCTTAAACTGCATCTGATCGATTTTGTCCGTGAAATCTTGAATTGAAAGAATGAGCTATATAAATAGTCAAATAATTTGACAGTCAATTGAATAAAAGAATATAAGTGCGTGAAATGTTCCTTTCTTTCTATCTTCTCATCCCTCTTACGCTTTTTCTTTTCTGTTGTAAGATTCACGCTGTTGCTAATAAAACCACCCCGTATGGTATAGCTCGTACATTGTATCATGAATATATTGTCTGAAATACGCGAACAATTTCGTATTATCCAACTAACGACGAGATAAAGAGAAGGATAAATAAATTTTACGAAAGTAATCACGATACGGAATTGTTCCACTTTCCAAATATATGTTTTCGAATGTTATATGCGCAAATGAAGAGCGGGATGACGGTAGTTATTTTTCGCATACGTGATACAAGGCGTATTGACTAATTTGCATGCGAAACGTGATATCAAACGTGATATCACAGTGCCAAAGATGGAAATTTTCGTTATATTTTCTCGGAACGATGAAAAAAATGAACGAAATACGTAATATTTATAAATCTCCATGCCTTAAAAACAGTCATAATACTTATCAAAAAATGTATACATATATGAATAGTTCTTTATTACGCGATGCCCGTTTTAAGCTTATAAGAGGTTTATGTTGAACAAGCCATTAAACGGATCTGTTTAAATTACACTTTTAGAAATTCTTCTATGTTTGTTTTAAATATTTGCTTTTCTAAGTGGCTTTACATCGTCACTTGTTTATTAATATCACTTTTGATTACATTTCCTGATAGACAATACGACGAATTTTATCCTTTCTATGGCCCAGAAGGAAAAAAGAAAATTATACAAACACTAAGTCAAAATAAAGTTAAATAAACACTAAGTATATACGATCTTGATCGACGCTTTGTTGACGTTTTGTTGTTCTCTCTTTATGTTAACTCCAAAATCGATATTGCACGATGGTTCCTGTAACTTCAACTTCCGATGAAACGCACGATCGAACGAAACTCGCGAGGATGGCACGCGAGATAAGTTTCGGAAACAGCACTACGATAAACTGAAAGGGAGAATTGCAGCTCCCGCCGGAGCTCTTGAAAGCAATACAAATGTGGACATCACTCGCGCACGTCCCTCAAACGCGCCTGCGTTCTGTTCGTCTTCTCTCATCCTCTTTGTACTATATATCCTCTGTACGCCACGCCGTGTTACTCTTCACCTATAAAATCATAAAAAAATGTCGATCCGACTTGATTCCTCCATTTATAACGCTTGATAAACGTTATTGCCCGCGAAGGAACTTATTAAAAAACTTTTCCCTCTTGTTGCCTCTCCTCTCGAACAATTTCAATATCTTTTCTGATCTTCTCACTTACTCTTTGTCCGTGTACGTTTGATTTCGGACAGGAACTCGATTCCAAACTGTAAACAAATCCCGTTTATTTTAACACGATAGCTGCACGAAAAAATACCGTTAGATCATTAACCTTTTGCTGGTTTTTTCAGTCAATTTATAAACCATTACTTATCATCGCGTCAAACGCAAAATTTAACTTATTGACGTAATAACCGTAGCCTCGCTTTAACAGAGCTGTGCAAAGTTCTACCTCAGATGAATTTATCTTTTGAACTCGTTCTAACAAGAGATAGTTATGATACAGTTGCTACACTATGGTTAACATCAAAAATTAATTCAAGAATAATAACGCTAATTGAATCTAGTCTTGTTCATTTATGTTAGAGAATAAAAAGATATTTTATATTCCTTTGTCCGCTATAGAACTTATCCTAAAAGCGACAGATTTAATTTACTCTGTAAATAATATGATGCAGAGGTCTTAAGCAAATTACAAATTACACGTTACCAACGTGTTATGTAACTCTATCTTTAGCCAGTGATCTCTAAGTTCCATTGAAAAGGATAAAAACGATTGAGCATCGGATACATTGACAAATAGAGGGTTGGTTCAACATGTTAAGTAATCCACTGTGAATCCACTCACAAAGGTTGAGACAAATTTCACGCGTATTCTGTTACGGCAAGCCGATCACCTCTATTGGCATTTCGTGTCAGTTAACGCTAGAGATCAATAGGTAACGCAAGAAATTAATGTTCTTGTTTTATGATTCTCATTTCATACTTGTCTTGTTTTATGATACTTGTCTTTTTATTTGCACATGTAACAGTTTTCTCATTTCTTTAATGAGCCGTCGTTTATATCAGAATCACTAAATATATTGTCACTGCTGAGAATATCTGTAAAAATAAAAATTCTATGTTTTATCAATCTAGAAAACTTTGATTTTATTCGTCAGACCTTGCCGGAAGTAAAGCACATCATGCCGGTGATAGTGAAAATATTTCTCAGTTGGAAATAGGCCGCTGCCTCTATGTTTTCCTACAATAATAGCGCACGTTGGAATAATTCTTATAAGGAACCAAAAATGCAAAAAATGAGAATATTAGTTCATTGAGGGGTATAATCCGTAGCAATTGACTAGAAGTGTACAATTAACTTGATATAATTAATTATTCGAAAGAACAAAGAGGTACTATGATTCAATGATAATGGCATAGTAATGGAAACAAAAGGGAATATAAAATAAAAGAAAACAAATTCGTTTATTACGTTTCTTTGAAAAAAATAATGATTCTTCTTTGAATTGAATGCAAATATGCAAACGATTTCATTGGAATTCAACTCATCCGTAGAAACATACGTTTCATAGAAACAGTCGAGTATGGAGTGAAAATAAGCTGGCCAACACGATTCGCCTAAACAAATAGCTAGTTACATGAATGTACATGCGTTTCAATAACTACTTTGTTTCTCGCGCGGATCTACATACTTGATTTGCTGTCATGTGACATACGGTGATAATCAATACCAAATTCCAAGCGCGATCAATCACTAGCATTAATTCCCTGGCTTTCCCATAATCCGATAATTTGAGCACTTTCAATGAATAAATTCTTGACAATAAATTGAAAAACATACTCGAGATCCAAAGCGAGATCCATCTATCGATGGAATCTTTGATTTCGTAACAGAACGTGTTATATAGTGTTACCTCAAGCGAGATCTGTACGAAAGAACAGGCGTGCAGAAAATAAAATAAAATACGGATTTTGTAGAGTGTCAAACTTCCTAGCCGTGTACAAATAAAGGGAAATAGATTCAAGCAAACGATCGAGTACAGTTCGAAAAGCGAATTCATCTGAACGATGCATAAAACTCACAAATAAATAAACGTCTGAACTTTAACGTTGGCATGTTTAAGAAATAGATGAGAAATAAACTTACCTCTAGGGAACGTCATATTGCAGAGATGACGAAATTATTCCTCGACGAGAAATAAAATGCAAACGAATATCAGAATTTATGTATTTACAGATACATTCATGATGAAATATAATAGTCCGCGAAAAACTGGCAATCTGAGTTCAATTCTACAAAAAGAAGATGTTGATTGATAAAACTTTATTATGTATACTTATTTACATATGAGCACAACAAGTGAATTAGGTCACTTTTCTTAATATTGTGAAAATTGGATTTTCGTCTAATATTTTACAAATTAATAGAATATACGTACTTTGTTATATTTAAAAAAAATAAAATGAATATGAATTTAAAAAGAAAGAAAATAAATACATTATTAAATACAATTTCTTTCAAACTAACAATAAGATAACAAATAAGCAAATGTATTTACTTACGATGTAAAAATTGATTTTTATTGTTTTATTAACATAAAATAAAATAAAATTTATTGCAAATTAAATTGTTAAATGAAACATGTATTCTTACTAATACTATTTTTATAATAAGCTCTTTTTTTCTAATTTTCGGTTTATGGCATTTGTCAATTGAGTAGTCTGACAAAACTATTCATACGCTCGATGAAAAATTATCGATATTATAAACTGTCTAAACTTCATGAAATAAAATCGTACATTAATTCAATAGATCTCATCTTAAAACATGAAATCTCTATTTTACCAACCTTGAGTTCTTTTTTTCCAAAGATGTTTTTACATTATTCAGTAAATAAAAAAGTAAAGATACTTTTGTTATCGAAAACTATATAAGTTCAAACCCCATTTAAAAAAATTAGTGAAAAATTTGTTTTGTGATTATTTATCTTGATCTATCTTGAAAATTTATATCTTCTCTTTACATCAAGTCTTTAACACTTGCTGTATTATTTCTTTTCGTTATTTTATTAAACCTTGAATGTCAGAGTTAAATAACAGAATTCGATAAAATGTTCGAGATTAAATAAAAAAAAATCGTACGAATGGCGAAAAAAAAATCGTTCGACAAGAATCAAGAAAGTAAAGAGGTGACTTTGTTTTTCAAGATTATAGTAAATTTAGATATGAAAAAAATTTTTTAATGTTTTCAGAGGCATTTGAATTTCGAGAACAAAAGTATCCTTGCTTTCCCACTTGCTACGTAATATAAAAACATCCTTGAAGAAAATTTACACAGGATTGTCAAAGTGAAAGCTTCACATTTTAAAATGAATATTTTATATGACTTTTTTTTATAACAGTTTAAGATATAAACATCGAGTGTACGAATACTATGATCCACTACATTTTTTATATCTTCATCTTGACAATTATATGATGCTTAAGTTAAAGATTTATCTTGAATAAACCAGCATAATTTAATTTTTCAACAATCCAGTACGAACGTTTCTACTTCATTTAGATCATCAGTTCAGAAAATAAATTAAATGACTAATGTAAAATAAATTAGACGTTTATGTGAAATTTAACAAAACAATTTTATTTGAATGCAAAAAAAATTTAATAATTGAATGGTGATCTCGATTAAAGAAGCACATTCTAAAATAACACGAGTTAAAGTTGTTATACGTCTTCCATAAGTTCTCTTTCATTTTATATCGACTTCTGATGGAATATTTGCAATCTATGTACTTTACAATCACCAAAGTGATTCATTTATAACTATTATAAGTTAACTCAATTTCGAAATATAATATAATATAGACTTTTATTTCAATTCACCATTTAATTCTTTATAAAACATTCATCTTTATTGAGAATTTTACCCGTAATCCAAATATCTATTTATTATCAAGAAATTATCAAGAAAAGATATCCATTTATTATCAAGAAGTATTATCAAGAAGAAATTGACGATGACTATGATGTGACATATAATATCCAATTCATTTCTTTTTAGAATTATGAAAATGTGTACTTTGATCAAAGTTGCGCAATTGTGACAAAACAGATCGAATTTTTCAATTCCATAAAGTGGTTGACGTGGCATCCACGAATAAAAAAACTCGTATAAAAGAAAACAGCACTCTGGTAATTACAATAAGCATACTTTTTCGATCTTAATCTTTGTATGAGAATACATAAACGTGCAATACCATAAGACTAGTTAAATACAGAATCATTGAGAACACGAGTATTATGTCTCGAAACCTTCTCACTCTTATATTATTCTGCGTAGAGTGTAGTACATCCTAATAGTAAACCGATATTAAAAATTGATTTTATATCATTAACAAACACCATTCTTCTAATAAATTCTTACTCTTTTAGATTTAAAAATTACCACTTATCGCAGTAATATATAATTCGATTTTAATATTAATTACTTAATTACAATATTGATAACACCATGTAGCAGAATACTTATTATGTATTCTAAGCAGTTACAACGGAACACAACGAACAATAAGTATCATTTAATATGAAAACTTAGGAAAAATTCTAAATTGATTTTATGTCTGTTAACAGTAAACTAACTATAATAATTCTGTCAATATTATGTGAAATATATAAATAAAAAATTCTTACGCTTTTATAATTCTTTACGCTATCAAAATGTAGATTTATTTAATAATTCAAAGAAACGATAAACTCACATACTACAGTTACACAATTTACTCAAATAATTCTTCATAGAAATTGAATTTACTTCCTTTCTAATTGTAAGTAATAAAATTTTCTCTTTTAGGAGACTTTCATTCCAACTTCACGTACCATGAACATTTTTAATTAATCAACTATTTTTATCATAAATTGACATTTAATCTATTTTAATATAGTTATAAATCAAAAACTAACAATATGGAAGACTAAATGTATTTTTAGCACATAAATTACAATAATTATTATTATCATGGGCAAAAATAACTCTTGTCCCATTACCAAAATATTAACTTTAAGTACAGCAGCTCGTTACTATTACATACATTTCCATATCCGACATGTATAACTCGACAATGCTCGAACCGAATTGTAATAAAATTTTAATAAAATAATCCAAATGTTTTTTTAAATATTAAGTCTTGTTTAATATTTTTGATTAAAACAAAACTTTTAATATTTTTGATTAAAACAAATCGTTAATTCAGTTTTAAAACATTCTCAATTATTATTTAAAATTTGCAATAAATTTACTTCTATAATATTTTTAACTATTATTTGGTACTCTTAGTATTATTTATTACAATTAAATTATTTTGTTTCTATAATATTTCCAAACATTAAACTTTTAATAATTTCTTTATCATAATAATGATTCATAAAATATTATTGTGACGTCGGGCGACGTTTGTTTAGACCCCAGGATTATCGAGGCGATTTGGCGTGTTTTGTTACGGGCTGTACCGAGGGTGTGGGCGAAAAGAGAATGAATATGCTCGAGAGTATATTGATTATGAGGTATAGAATGGTCGATATTCGATTGGTCTTTGTTCTGGAGCAACCGAATCCACCTGGTTCTTCGAACGGTGCAGGTCGAATGGCGAACGCGAGTGAATCCCCGGGGTACGGTATACGGTCAATAAATATCATCTTCGATATTCCGTTTCCAAACGACAGTGGACGCTCCGGATGCGAAATCATAACACGCCATCGATAAATAGTGTTATAAAAGGAGGTAAAAGTCGGAAGTTCTTCAGTTCAGTGCAGTTCATCTTCAAACTTCAAAGAGACAGTTCTACTTCTTATTTCAAAGAAACAGTTCATCTTCTAATTTCAAAGGAGTTCAGTGCAGTTTAGTTCAGTCCTAATCTTATTCTTATTCTCAGTTTCAGTCTCAGTCTCAATCTTAGTCATCGCAGTTTTTCCCACAGCTCCGTTTTGTCAGTTCTAATTGTAAATCGCGAATGATAAATCTTGACACTAGCTTTGTGCAAATATATGTTAAGAATATATATATATATATTATAAACTATAGTGTTTTTGTTTATTCACGAGCTCCTGGTGGCATCTGAAGCTTATTTGCGTGCAGTGTCGTTAGAGGGTTGACCTTGATCATCCTCATTCGGACATCATTTCTGATCTCAACAGCAAAAACGTTGCGGATCTCGGCTAGAATCTGACGTACGTGCCGGTTGAACCAAAAGGTTACATTGGACATGACACTGTTATTATTGACACAATTACATTATTTTATAATAAAATTTATTTATATAAATGTTACATAATATCAACTGAAACATGAAAATTTTTCCAATGATAGTTTATTATTTTTTAACTTTATTTCTAAACTTTATATCTCAATATTTTTATTTGACTATTTTAAATAAAATCAGTGTCAGTGCAACATTGTCAAAGCAGAGGGGTAAAACAATTTTAAAAGAAATAAAACTTTAAAAAAAATTTAAGACTGAAAACAACAGAATTTTATTATTCAATCGAATGTTCTACGATCGATTAATCGTATAATTTAGAATCTCGTTTGAATAATAATTTGGAACGTTTGAATATTTTACTGAATACATGATAATAGAGAGAAGTTCAGTAAATTGGCTAGCAGTGATAAACTTTCAGAACGATTAAATGTTCAATTGAATACAATTTTCAATATAAACTGTATAATTGTTACAACAATCTTTAATTAGAAATTTGTGCTTGATTCTTAATTAACAAAATTTATCGTACATTTGGCAATTCCTGAAACGTTTAAAATTTTTATGCATTACTTTTTTATGTTTGATATTAAGATTTTAAAGAATTATCTAAAATAAATATTTCTATTTTAGATAATTCTAATATTTATATTAATAATTATAAATATAAATATGGTAATTTCTGGACATTAGCTACATATGTTCAACAACAATATGTTCAATGACAATATGCAGTCAATACGTTCATAGAATGATATTATTTGTATTATCGATTAAAAACGATTTGAGCTATTTATCCCAATAATTAAAATAATTGAGTATAGAGGAAAGAATAATATCTTTTTCGCGAAATTGAGTTATATGTGACTTATACATATATAGAAGTAGGATGTGGATCTTACACGCAATGTAAATATAAAATATAATATATTTTTAATATATTGTATACATAAAATATATTTTTAAATATAAAAATCTGGCCTGTTTATTGTTAATAAAAGGATTTGCAAATTTATCTATTTATTTTTTCAGTGTAGACATCAATTTTTTACCATTGTGTCAATTATTTGCCATTTTAACTTGTAAGAGAAAATTAAGTTGAAGAGTGAAATTAAGAAGAATGAAGGATGGATGCCAATAAGAAAATCGGGACCACCATATTATAATTTACATTTTAATATTGATGTAGCTCATTTTATAAACTACAAATTTCCTAGATACAAATGCAATTCTTCCTTTAAGTGGAAAATTACGAATGACATACAAATTATCGCGTTCCTGGTATTTAACAAATTACGCTATCAGTAGCTATCACGTTGATAGCGTCCATATCTTTTATCTATCGATTCCAATCATGATTTTTTTTGACTCATTGTTCATTTTAGTATCAGAGCAAATTCGATTCAGTTGTTGGTTACGTAGGATCTAGATTTATATACTACGCTTTGAATTCTGATCTTTACGTTCGACGTTTGATGTTCTCATCGAAGAATTTGGCAACGAGTACACACAATAAGGAAGATTCAGTCCTGTAAATCATCATCACCCATATGTCATGTCATTAAAAGCATTTCGCTTAGAATTTAATCGATCGACCGCTACGTATATAGCCGGTGAAATTGTCAGTGGAAATATTATCGTGGATATAGCAAAAGAGAAGCAGATTAGAGGTGAGTTTCTGATCTTGAAGTATAATAATGCGTAGTGAGGAATGTTAAACGTCTTTAGCTCTTGATAATAGTACATACTTTTGGAATTTGAAATTGTTTCAACGTAAACAAGAGTGATAATTTCGACGCTGGTGTAAATTGCCAATTTTGTCAAAAATAACTTTCTTGCAATCTTCTCTTTTGCAATATTTTTGCAAATTATGTTTAGTCTGAGATAATAATAATATAAGTAATCATGTTTTTGACAACGTCGAATACAGATACAAAAATCGGGCTAACACTCACAGTCATGTTACGTTAACTCATATAAGTCTGTGACTAAAATTTTCAAACTAATTCGACAGATGCCAAAAAACGTATATGCAAATCATGAAATGAAGATCTCTAGTAATTTATGACATGACAAATTATCTCTAGTTGAAGGCGTTAATGTAACATAATATTGCAACATGTGAAAAAACATAATCATTATTCCAATTTTTATTCGAAGAAGTGTGTATTCTGATTAATCTATATTAGTATTTAATTGCATTAAGTGAATTAATCTAATAAGTGATAGAGAAGATCATTCACTTCTTATCAAACGTACATCCAGAAATGAAAAAAATAAAATTTATTCAAGATGTGATTGATTTTGTATTATAGGACTTTTTGTTAGTGCGACGGGAAAAGCATACGTGCATTGGAGTGAAACTGACAAAAATAAGACAAGGAGTTATACCAATTCAGAGAAATACTTCCAGCTGAAATGCAACATAATTAGTACACAAAGATGTGAGTAGAAATTTTCAGGAGACAACAAATCGCTAAACAATAACGACAACAAATAGTGCAATCAAATTTATGAAATTATAAACGTACCTGTCAATAATATATTCTATGATTTTCCAGCTGATTTACAGGTGAAACTCCCCAGAGGATATAACCAGTATCCTTTTAGCTTCCAAATACCTTATAATATACCATGTAGCTTTGAGCATCGTAATGGATATGTAAGGTACACGGTAAATGCCGTGATCGATAGACCATGGAAGTTCAATCACGAATGTAAAGCAGCGTTCACCGTAGTTTCGATTCTAGATTTGAATGTTCATCGTGAAAAATGTGTAAGGAATCGAAATTAATTTTCAAAATGCTTTAAGAATATACATATTTCAAACTCACACGAATTACTTTATTATTAATGTAGTTAGGAGTCAATGATGAAACGAGAAAAACTTTCTGTTGCTTCACGAACGGCGAGATTAATTTGCAAATTTCAATACCTTCCTCTGGATACGTACCAGGACAAATGGTAAATACAATAGTGGACTATGTGAACTCTACGAATATATCGATTACGAGAGTCTGCACGAAATTATTACAAGTGAGTAATGTATTTAAAATGGCCGAAATACTAATTTCTCGCACACTAAAAGATTGATACTTAATTTTTTTTCTTCTAGAAACTCCAGTTCCATTCCAGCTTGAAAACATTGATTGAAAACTTTATAATTACCAAAACGAGCCAGACAGGACCATTTCCTACAAATGGACAAATAATGTCAGGACTTTTGATATCACCCATACCACCTTCTTATCTTAAATATTGTAGTATAATAGATGTGGACTACGAGTTGATCGTCTGTATTCATATTTCGGGAATGTAAGTAGCGAAAATGGATACAAATAAATTTAACAGTGATAACTTAGAAACAACCAGAAAATCAGAGAGACAAAATAATAGCTATGACTAATATAATGCGATTTATTTTCTAAAAATCTAATTATGTTTATTAATGATTTTGTTTATGTATAAAATTAGGCATCGTAAAATCATGAAGAATTACCCTGTTCTAATTGGAACGACACCATTATGTTTGCCTCCTTCTGCACCACCTCTGCACAACGTTGTATCCAATCCTTCGAGCTCATATACGAATGAATTCGCGATAACGCCAGTTCCAACGTCGACATCAGAAAAATCAAATGCATCATATCTTCCGGCAGGAGACCAACGTCGATCGGTTGTTCCAGAACAACCCAGCATTGGTAGATATACATAAAAAATTTATTAATAATTTATGTTTAATATATAGAAAAGAAAATGAAGTTGGCAAGTTAATATTCATCATTTTTCTTTTTCTATTTAGCGCCACCGTCATATGAAGAATGTGTGTCTGGAACTCAAGATATCCGAGATCAAAATGAATCTGAGTATGTGTTTGGTGCAAATACTCCTTTTACGCCTAGGTATCCTGTATTCAACAATTTAGAACCAAATAAGATCTAGAATTCATTACGAAACAATTAAAGTGGTTTTGATCGTAGAGTAAATATAATTAATTAAATATCTTTTTATCGGGTATACGTAAATGAATAGAAAAGTGGATTAATCACTTATAGATACTTCGTATCGAGTCGTCCATTTGTAATGAAGAAACCAGCCAACACCTGAAAGTGTTATTAAACAATTCTTTCCGTGTTATTATATTTTGATATAAATTAGTGTTTTGTTTTTATATGTGCACATTTTACTATTTCATGTACCATATGTATATATAATATATGCATTTATATATTATTAAATAAAAAAACTCTTTCTTTGTTTTACTGAAATTTGAAGGCATAAAGGAAAAGCAGCAGTTTTACGAAAATGAAATATTTACAAAATTTATTTTTATATCTCAACATTGTCATATTACAGCCATAATTCTCATCGGGTTGCATTATAATTAGTAAAAGAGAAAAGAAGAAAAAGTCAAATATCGATAAAAAGATGAATGAGAAAAATTTTAGGTCAAAGAGTAGAGAGGAATGAGAAATTTATCGGTGAACTTATGAAAATCAATAGATCACAAATCGGTCATTCACAAAAAGGTTTAAATAAAAAGAAGAGTAAAAAACTTGCAATAACTTTGAAACGCGTCTACTCGTGTAATGTAATTAGTTAAGAATATAGAGGAAAGCTCATCAACAAACTGCAAACTTATCTCGAGTCTTATCATTCGTATAATAAATTCCATTTTTAAGTGTACACATTTTATCTTGATGATTTTGCAAATGTACATAATACAATTCATATTTTATTCACAAAATTAAACATGTCATTGTAAAAACTAAACCCAATCATCTTATAATGTTAAAGGCTGTCTTGGATACTATAAATAAACACGGTTGTCATTCTTCTTTCTTTAATTTTAGAGAATTTACTATCGAATGACTATAAAAACTTTTCTTTCAACTTGTTTGTGAAATAAATGAAGAAAATTATTAATATATGATCAAATATACTTCGAAAAAAAAACATACAATTTAACTATTAACGAACAAGGTCAATTCCAATTGTATTTTTGCAAGAATGACGTATATGTATTACATCTGGTACCATTATATGCATTCATGTGTCATTCAGGTAAAACAATTGTTCGTGTCGAATACATTCATTAACAAAAATTTTACTTCACATTTGTTATTTTAAAATAATCGTACAATCATAACAATGTGCAACGATAATTCGTCCATTCTTACAATTTTCCAATATGTTTTAAGTATCGAAAACGAATATGTTCATTCAATTAAAATTGACATTCGGCAGAAATATTCGTAGTCTTTAATATGAATTCGAAAATCACAATATATAAAACTTTCTTTTGAAAATTATATTATAGTAGAAATAATTAGAAACAAAAAAGAGTCAAGAATTAAATCGAATATGTTGAGGAATTAAAGGAAGAAAGTAATATAAATATAATTTATAAGCTCATGAGAAATACCAGGTTAGTATGAGTTCGAAATAAAATAGAAAAAGCTATTAAATACTCGTGACTGTACAGCAAACGCTCTTTTGTATACAGTGCATATCGACATATATGTACATACGTATGTATGTTCTTGACTTGATAATGTTTCTTGGCTTTTTTATTTTTAAATCTCTGATTATTCTAATTTATCAGAAAGGGAAGAAAACTGTGCGCTCCGACTTTACAAAAATTGACCCGCTTATATTACGATAATTTTTCCTCGATTTGAGATATTTAACCTCTAATATATTATTTATTATCATAAATAAATTTGATTTGTCGATAATATTGTGAATACGCCATTGTAAAAATTGGCAGTATTTTGTTAAATAAAAAAATCACGGTCACTAAAAGAAATAACTGAATGAACGAAACAATTATTTCCGTGTCAATTGTAAATATTAACCAGTGAAAAATTGATAAATTCATTTATATTATATTTAATAATATATGTATATATTGTAGAGATATAATATAAATAATGTTTATTATTTATTAATAAATTAAATAATGTAATAATAATATAATAAATTAAATAATGTTTATTATTATACCTCGTTTGTGACCTCGTCTGTGACTGGCTTTTTTGTATTTTGAGGGTCATCTCCTTACCATTTTCATGTCACATCCTGTCGTATCGACTTACGCAAGTATTGCCTACAGCGCTAATGGTGATAGAAATTAAAATTAAAAAATATGAACAGTGTTGCCGTTTCCGCATTGGAAATTATTTATTGAATCCGTGACACTTTATTACAAGCAACATACGTATGTATATACATATAATAATAATAAATAAATACAAATTTAGTAATAAAACATTATTCAAGAAGGTCTATTATCGTGTATTTTTCACAAAAGTGCATTGTCTTTTAATCAATTTCTATGATTTCTTTTTTGATGAAATTTTTCTACGTGCTATTCTAAATGAAAAAATATTAAGGCACAATATCGAAAAAAAATTAATATTTCTCGAAATACTTCAAATTTTATATAGGATGCAGTTTTTAAATGGAAACATATCTGCTGTATTTTTGTCTTTATGAAGAAAATCTTTCAAATAAAGTTGCACTATTTTAAGACATACTTGTTGAAAGTGGAAAGAATTATTTTCAAGATCATTTTAAAGTGAAAATAATAAAACTCATATCTTTGTCGATAATTCTTATGAAGCATAAAAATTAAAATTTAATCATCTCAATAACGAATTCTAATCATTTATCTAAAGAAATTTTTTTCGGAACAAAACGTTTATTAAAAAGGTTGACTTTCATGTTAACAGTACGGATATCTATTGCAGTTGAGCAATCTAGAATTCATTGTGCGAGAATTAATATAAAATATAAAATATAAAATATAAAATATAAAATATAAAATATAAAATATAAAATATAAAATATGAAATAGATTTGTAAAATAAATTATATAATTGACGTATATTCGAAGGAGTTGTGATTCGTCCAAATCATTTAAGACTTCACATCGAATTGCTCGGTCAGTCTGTCTTGTTGATCATCGTTTTGTTTGACATAAGGCATGTGTTTGTGTCTCTCCTACCGCGCGGGAGAGAAATCTATAGTATATATGTACAAGTTCCCAGGTTAAATCTTCCAAACTTTAGATAAAAATTTAGGACTACAAAACGAACTTTTTTTTTTCTTCTGGAGATATGCTCGCAAATGCTTTCTTCAAAAGATATTTACTACTGAAGTAGTTGGACTTAGTAATGTATGCCACCGAAATAATTCAGATTTATTACGTATATTATTAAAGAAAATTGTTGTATTTATTACTAAAAATAATTGTAATTACTATGTTTGTAATTATTGTAATTAATATATTGCTCAAAATGATTACCATCAGCTTGAAGACAAGCATTATACCTATCAATAACAGAAGAAGTGGTAAATTGACACTGTACGCCTATTATTTCATTACACGCTTGCATTATTCTCAATTTCAATGTTATTAACAGATTGCTCGTACATTTTTTGCTTCACTGTAAAAACTTAATATTCATTTTCCCGGAAGATGATCGATCGTGCTGTCAATTGGCTTCCGCGTTTACCGGACCCAATTCCAATGGATTTTTTTCCCGTGGGGAACAGTGAAGCAAAAAGTGTACGAGCAACCTGATAATAATAATGCGAGCGTATAATGAAAAACAGGTGTACAATGTCAATCAGCCACTTCGTCTATTATTGATAGGTGTAATGCTTGTCTTCAAGGTGATGGTAATCATTTTGAGCAACATATTAATTACAATAATTACAAACAATAATTACAATTATTTTTAGTAATAAATACAACAATTTTCTTTAATAGTATACGTAATAAACCTGAATTATTTCAATAGTATACGTAATAAACCTGAATTATTTCAATAGCATATATTACTAAAGTCCGACAATTTTAATAGTAAATATCTCTTGAAGAAAGCATTTGAAAGCATACCTCCAGAGGAGAACGAAGTTTGTTTTAGGATTCTAAATTCATATCTAAAGTTTGGCAATTTAATCCGGGAATACCTGTATACTATGGAATTTTCTTACAATTTTGTCAAGAATTTAATGACATATTTTAACATATTTTATTGAAATTTTATACGAATTTAAAATGATATATTCTCATTGAGTTCTACTCATTCTTATTCTTTTTCCAGCTTCATCACGATTGCCATCGTGCAGAGTGACAAATGAAAAACGAGTTAAAGGGGACAGTTTAAGATTTTCTGACGAACGCACAGTTCCCAAATGTAAAAATTTGACATAGTTGCCATATTTTTGTTACTGTTCCACCGATCTATTTTATCCATGAAATGATGAAACTAGCGAAATAGGCTGTACGATCCTTGTCTCTTAAATATTCGCTCGAGTTCGATCGAAATTATCCGATTAGATTCAACTCCGAAATGTCAAATAATCAGACCTGGGTAATTTGAACAAATTTTTGAAATGATATGATTTGATTTAACCCTTTGCGATCGTATTAAATTTGGACATGGGTGTCGTACTGATCGGAATTAATTTCCGTTGAAAGAGCAGTGATACATAACATGCAAGATTATGAAGGATAAACAAGATTTATTAATTCTTTTGTGAACTTTAGATATATGTTTACACAATAATGTAATTTTAATGTAATGTTTTTATGTAAAAATTATATTTTATAGTTCTCCATCGTGTGGTATCTTTCAAAGCAGTTTCCAACATGCAGTCCTGGTTTTCGATTACATGTATCGCAAAAATAATTAGTTTCGCGTTTTCCGCCCTTGAGCGGTTTCTTAGTCCAATAATATTTCATAATAGGAACTGGTATAGTACCCATGTTAAGGATTACACCCAAAAAAGCTGTTAACTCTTCTTTCGTCACATCGATCCAGTTATTCCATGTTGATCGATCAGATAAGCTCTATTTTTGGCATATTTATTTGTTTCTAGTACAATTGTTTCAAGCAGTGTATCTGTGAAAAAGAGTCTGAAAAAGTCGATAGGTTCCGTGCAATGAACAGGTACATTAGGTCCAACAATCTTAGATCCCGTAGAAAAATTAGTTTTTGATTGTGGCTGATCTCTGTGCGTAACGTATCTCCAAGTAGTAAATTCGTTTATACTACTGTTCTCATTTTTATTA